CTTTAAATGTGGTTCCATTTCTGATGAGTGTGTGAGAAAGTGTTCCCCCCTGAGTCCGGATATTAAAAATAAACAGGTCACTTCTGATAAGTGCTTGTGCTGTATATCTTCCTGTTGGCCATTCTGTAACATAATAGGAAGATGTACTGCACTAACCCGAGAGAATTCTAAATGGATATGTTGCCTTGTGAAACTATAATGAAAACACAACTGGAATGAAATTGGGGAAAATACATCATACTACATATGAAACAATTATGTATGCCTTCAGTTTCATGGCTGGCTGCTGGCTGGGTTCCTCTCCACCCCACCAATAACGCTGTTGTTAGTGGCTGCCAGCCATTGCCACTAAAACGTAAGAAAATATTCTTGGTTATTTCGGTAAAGTTACGTAGAATGGAAATAAAATATTAAAAATAATAACAGAATAAAATTCTCACGACGTTTCGGCCACAACACAAGCAGCCTTCCTCAGGTGAAGAAACAGGACTGTCCGGAAGACAGCGCTGAGGAAGGCTGCTTGTGTTGTGGCCGAAACGTCGTGATAATTTTATTGTTATTATTATTTTATTTCCATTCTACGAAAGAACCAAGAAGACGAATCCCTGCAGTCACGAAAGCTTTAAATCGAAATTTAACGTAAGAAAAGTTTGGAAAACAATAGTGACACCGAAGAAGTGGGAGTAACACATGTCGAAGACTGACACGGCTCATTTAAAATTGCTCTAACTTTAACATTTGTGCTATTAATGTAATTCTTATGCGGTATGAAAAACCTCACAATATATATTGTTGGCATTTTATTGCATCGATTACTTTTAGTGCTCCAAAGTACAGGGTTGTGAGAAGAGAATAAAAAGGACAGATGTCTCTTATTTTCCATTGCAGAGCGATGGGTTCTCTCCGAGTATATATTAAAAAGCGAATATATAGGTTATGGTTTGTGTCCACCTGCACCAATATGACGGATAACCAAGCATTCACCACACTGGAGTTCCAGTGTCGGTAAATCAGGCCACACCAAATTCAAAATATCTGGTGGTGGCTTTGGTAAAGCGAGCGGCTACTTCACATCCTGGAGGGGGATTAACTTGAGTCCATCATCTCTCCGGGGTCATTCAAACGAGTACCATTTTGTGGGGAAGTCAATAGTTGTTTATTCGACGGACAAACATACCTCTGCCATATGGATGTGGAATGTTCACTACTGGCTCGGGCAGGACTGAGAACGTGATGACCACCGCCTCAATGCTCATTTTAAAACAAAATTATCATTGAATGATTAATTTTTTATGACGTCATTCCTGAAAGTGTAATCATAATTGCCTAAGGAGCAACATGCAAGCTGAACATCTGCTTAGGCGGCCCCAACAAGTGCACTGCAGTTCTCTATATATTGGGATGTTTGCAGCCAATTACTGTCTATTACAGGGGTCGGGAACCTTTTTGACTAAGAGAGCCATGAAAGCAAAAAATTTGGAAATTTATTTCAGTGAGAGCCATATAATATATTTTAAAAGTGAATTCAACTAAATGTCAGTATAATAAGCCTCTGAATGTATTCTTTTAAATAATGTTGTTATAACACTCACCATTAATGCGACTTCTGGTGCTGCATGGATTTGCTGATGTCTTTGTAGTCGGGTTGGTACTTGGTGAGGTTAAGCTTCATGCAAGCGTTGAGGCTTTCATCCGTTAAACGTGATCGTAGGTTGGACTTGATGTTTTTAAGATGTGAGAATGACTGCTCACATGCATACGTAGATCCAAACATGGTCAATACAGCAATACTCACACGCTGCAGTGTGTGGTATGTGACAGGAAGCGCGTTCCAAGTTTTGAGAATCAGCTGGTCTTCGGGTTGGAGTTTTTTTCATTTCTGTCCACATGTGCTTGCTCGCCAACTCCGCTTTCTGTCGTGTGATTCTTTCCAAATCTTCATTCAGTGACTTGAACTTATTCACCCACATGTCTGAGGCCTTCAGGTCAGCCACTTCTGCTTCAAAATCTCTGACGGAGACACCAGGGATGTAATTCAGGTCGGCTGTGTTCAGTGAACACTCGTTTGGATGGGTGATGAACTTAAAAAGACGAGTGTGCTCACGAAATTCTCCAAAGCGTGCTTTGAAGGACTGTAGGAGACTGGATGTGCAGCCAGCTAGCTGGTGGAGATCAAGGTTTTGAATGGGCTCACTTGCTGTGCATGCATCTTTAAATTGGCTCAGTTTTTCAAAATGTAGTAAACGGCCTGTTTCAAGATCCGTGATGAAAAGCTCCAGCTTGTTTTCAAAAGCAAATACAGCTTGTTGAAGGGATAACACTGTATTTCCAATGCCTTGCATTTTCACGTTGAGCTGGTTCAGATGTTCAGTCAGATCTACGAGATAGTAAAACTTGAGGAGCCACTCGGTGTCGGCTAGCTCAGGATGCCCGACGCCTTTCATTTCAAGGAAAGTCCGGATTTCGTTCAGGCAAGCCGCAAAACGGCTAAGCACCTTCCCTCTTGACAACCAACGCACATTGCTGTGCAAAAGCAGACCAGGATAGTTATTTACAACTTCATTCAGCAGTGTTTTAAACTGGCGATCATTTAAGGCTCGGGCAACAATAAAGTTGATCACACGAATGACCAGCGACATCACTTCGCCAAACTGCCTGTCACACATCTGAGCACAAAGTGCCTCCTGGTGTATAATGCAATGGAAACTTAGGATGGGTCTATTTTCATGTTCACGGAGAAGCGCCACAAATCCTTTGGTTTCCCCACCATACACGGAGCACCATCAGTACACACTGAGAGAAGTTTATCCATAGGTAGACTTTTTTCTTGAGCAAACTCCATGAAAGACTTGAATAAATCCTCACCTCTTGTGGACCCTTTTAATGGCAGAACAGCAAGACTTTCTTCGCGCAGTGTGTCACCAACAGCATATCTTGCAATCACGCTGAACTGCGACAAATGGCTCACGTCTGTTGACTCATCCAAAGCCAGAGAAAAGAACGGCGCTGCATTTATGTCCTTCACTTGCGTTTCCTCCACTTTGTTTGCCATCACGATGGTACGATCATGAACAGTTCTTGCCGACAGAGGCATGTCTTGTATCCGTTTGATTATCTTGTCTTTGTTCGGAAGATCATCAAAAAGTTCATTGGCTACATCCAGCATGAACGTTTTAGCATACTCGCCATCTGTGAATGGTTTTCCGTTCCTCACTATTGCTAAAGAACCAGCAAAGCTAGCCGAATTATAGTCACCTTGCCGGGTCCATACGCGGAGTTGCTGCTGGCTAGCTTGCACCCTGCTCAGAAGCTCTTGGCACGCTTTCTTTCTGCTGTCTCCCGCAGGGTATTTTGATGCAAAGGTAGCGTGGCGCGTGTCGAAGTGCGGCTTTACATTCGACCGTTTCAACGATGTAATTTTGTCATTGCAAATTAGACACACCGCAGAACCCGCTCTCTCCACAAAGGCGAATTCTTCGGTCCATTCGTCCTGAAATGTACGATACTCGTCGTCTTTTTTTCTTTTCGCCATCTTCTTCGTCGAAGGGTTAGCTTTGAGCTAATGACCGAGCAGACGCAGTTCAGACTGATTCAAAAGGGGGCGTTTACCTGTTTTACCCAGCAACGGCAAACGTAGGCCAGTATCATCCAATTAAAATAATGGACAATTGCTCCTGCAGCCCTGAACAGGACATGCGCAGTGAAAAATCGATGGATGGATTAAAACAAGTGAGAATATTTTGTTTTATCTGCGAGCCATATGCAATCATCAAAAGAGCCACATCTGGCTCGCGAGCCATAGGTTCCCGACCCCTGGTCTATTATAAAGGTCGGAGTAAACCGGAGCACCCGGAGAAACCCCACACATGCAAGGCAGTGCCGGATTCAGCGAGTGCGGGGCCTGTAGCATATTATATAAAGGGGCCCTAAATAAATAAAAAACACATTAAAACACCATTTTTTTTACTTGCATAGTAAAGTAATTGTATTTTTTCATTTGCTATACAGCCAGATAATACCACAAATCGTTAACCTTAAACACCCAGTCGTTCATACAAGTTGAAGGCAGTATAGTACTATAGTAATATAGCAATTGCAGAATCACTGAACCGGAATTGATAGCTTGAAAGTATTTAGCGCGGGGCCCTTGAAAGTGCGGGGCCCGAAGCTACTAGGATAATCCGGCACTGATGCAAGGGTGGCAACAGTCTATCCCATACACAAGGCACAGATGATATCAGTCCACATTTTGCTGTGCTGCATTCTGCCGGCAAGCCACGGTATTGCACGTCGACACCATCAGATAGGGAGTCTCACACGGTATGTAATTTGTCCGATCCACCAATTCTCGCTCCCATAGGACTGGACTACAGGCATGTCATCTCGGGCCGCCACAATAAATCCACACATTAAGACTGCTCTGGAAAAAGAGAGAGTTCCCATAGCAGAGACTGCCGCTGTAGCAACCAAGTGCCATTAGATGTGCGATGTGATTTATGGAGCTTCTCGGAGTGCCAAACTTAGAGTGCATTGGAGAACACCTCACATTACCGTGAAACATTACAATCGACTCACATTTATTTAAAAGGAAACGGTAACAATTGAGTTTTGCTCCCTCTATCGTTACTGTCACGTGTGATAAAATGGATGTCTTATTAAAATTCCCAAGTAGGCTATACGTCAAACCAAGAGGAACATGCATCAGTGCACAGAGAGAACACATTTTAAAAGCCTGTGTGTGCACTAGATAAGGACATTGTTATTTTTCTGCTGATGTTTAATCAATGCAATGTTCTTTGCAATGATTGCCCTGCTTATTCAAGTGCATTTTTTGCACGATTAATTTTGCTACACAATTACCAAAGAAATGTTTGGTGTGTTATTGTAGCATTATAAAGTACCTCCTAAATATTGTGACATTTTAAAAGTCTTGTTAATGTTTCTGATCGTGTAGTTGTACACAAAGTCCAGTTACAAAATGTAAATACAATTGCCCAAAATCACTTGTAATTGAAATTTATAAAATCAAATTTTTAAATGTGTTTTGTATAAAGATTGAAAGTTGTAGCATGGCAGTTTGCAATGCAGACTTACATTTTTCCATTGCAGCGCTGTATTCCAACCTTGTCACGCATTAACCTTTGAATGGGTGCACACTGCCACTTATGGAAGTACCAATTTCTGTACGACACAATATGATTTTAAGTGTCTGCCAGAGGCACGCATATTAACTTGTCATGCCTTATCACAGTGTCAAGACTATAAAGGATATATTTAATGAGTTTAACCTCACTTAAGCAATAACAAGTTCAATAAGCTATAGCGATTAACATAATATCTAGACAAAATTCATAAACGGGCTTTTCGAGTAAGACTGGGATTGTATACAGCGATAACAACCAATACCAATGCATTAATAACGGTGTCCTTATCATTGAGGCTGTTGCAATATTACAATATTTCATTCAAGTGAAATCTCAAGCTGCTTTGTTTGAACAGATGCATACTTTCAGGGAAAGCGACTCAAGGTCTTACACATTTTATTCTAATGAAAACACATTTACCTCCGTTGTCTCACCTTGGCACAGAGTGAGAGGCACGAGACAAAAGACGACAATTTTGTTCATTTTATTAAACCTTTTTTAACCCAGTGAGATCACGGTTGGAGCAAATACGTCAAACAGTAATATTCGAGACCTGCAGAGACATTCTAAACGTGCGTTTAGAGTATAAATTTCCATATGTCACTTCGTTGAGCTATCATGTGTGGCCAGGTCACTTTTGAAAAAGAGCTTTAACAGTTCAGTGGGCCTTACCTGCTAAAATGAAAGTAGTAAATATGTAATATGCTACATGACCAGGCACATTTGGCTGCTAGTGTTCTCTACTTTCAACGTCCCACAGCTCAGACAACAAAAATGATTCCAAACCCTCTAACACAAGCTATACGTAAATGCAGTCATGACCGCCTGAAGTACTTGAAGCACAGAGCTTGCTCTTAAAATAGAAAACAATCCCCTTGAAAACATTTATCATTTGTTCTTTTAGACATTCGCTTATACAAGGCATATAACCAAGCAATAGCTAATTGCTGCAATTACCCTGCCATGTAGAGAACATGAAATTATCTGGGTCTCCCAGCCTGTCTTTCAACGTTAAATCGAATTGTGATCATGCTCAAGCCCATTATAAGGTAATTTTGGCACACAAGAAAACCCTTCAAATGTCACTGAATACCCGTCACAAATAAGGGGCAAAACAGGGTTGTGAAAGTTATTGATATAAGACCAATACGAATATATTAACACATATAAAAGACGATACTATACTGCAGAGGGCCGTGTTGTTGGAACTTGAATTTGTAACCACCAGAGGGCGTGGATATCCTCATTCCAGGAGCAGCATGGTTTTGCCAGATAACAAAGAGGAATTAAAACATCCACCTTCCGGTTTGATTTTTTGTCAGCAAATATTGATTCCCCTTTTCTGTTATTGGGACAATGCTGATACAACAACTGAAAGACATGTTTAGAACAGCTTCTGACAATTTTATTCAAGTAGTACTGGTCTGTAAACATGTGATGACATTTAGCGCAAGGAATGTACTTTGACGTCGGTTCAATGAAATTCATCCTTGCATAGGGTCTTCATACTGAAATAAGTTACAGCTACCGAAGGTCGTATTTGTGATGTTAATCTAGTTGATTCATTAATCTTGTTTCCATTCATCCCCAAATGAAAGAAAACGTTTTTCATCTCGATCCTCTTCCAATACCGTGTTTTGTAATACAGCTACACTTTGTGTGAACCAAGCCACGTCCATGTTGTCCAGAAACTCTCCCTTTTGCATCTCGTCTCCAAAATACAACAAATGCACAAGTTTACCAGGCTCTCAAAACACAACCCCAAAATGTTGCCTTCCCGCAATAGCCTTTATAAGTTGACCTTATTTTACTCTTTAATACATTACTCGAGTGCTTATCTGCGATGAGTGGGTGCAAATAATTGAAGATTGGTGTCAAAAGTTCTGGGTTCTATAAATAGCCTCTTGGCAATATCAGGTGTAATTTTGAGCACCATGAATAAAAACACAATTCACGAAGTACTACTTTTGATTATAATGTATTTGTGAACATGGGGCAAGGAAAACAAATACAAATGACAGTACATGTGATAATTACTTTATACAACCAGACAGAATTTTAAACTTAAAATTGCTTTTAAAATGTTAAATTAATAGTATACGCAAAATTAATACAATGGATGCATCAGAGGGGGGCACATTTCCAATTCAGACCTCTACTTTAAAATGAAAGTATAGAGCAGAGGTAAGATGGAAAAGTTTGCCAACAAAAGGTTTGTATGTATACAATGCATGGGATTAATGGAAAACGTTAAGTTGAGCATAAAACAGCTTCAAACTGTATTGACACCAACAAAAGCTTTAACCGATTTGAAAACAAGCAAATAAGTGTTTGGATACAGTCGAGTTTGTAAACTTATATAACTAAGTTGCCTTCGTCTTTTTGGTTTTGTTCTTTTTGTCTTTCTTCTTGAGTCCATCCATGTTGGCACGGAGAAGACTGGAGTATGCCTGAAATAGTATAACATCAATACAGATTTAACTCAAAGCACTTTATCAGGTAATATATGCATTCCCTGGACTGTTTAGTCAGAGCAGTGTTCCATATGCATCACAACTGACATCAATTTGATGTTGCATCTGGTAAATGAAAATCTTTGTCATATACAAAAATGGCAGTGAATTACTTGATACTTGATTCATAATTATAATTGAATAGCACATACATACAACCAACCAGAACAAGCTTTACATAGACTCAAATTTTGTTGGAAGAAAATAAAGTCTTGACTTACCATTTGGAATTTGTTGACTTCTTTTGAGCTTATCTAGGAACAAATGAAATGAGATTACTTAAGGTTTTAAGTGTCTCTAAATAAAAATATTATCTACTTAATTTTTCAGTTTAACATAAATCACAAATGTCAATAGGAGACATAAAAGTTAACAGACTGCGTTGGTAGAGTGCACGGGCACAACTCAAAACACCAGATGTTTCACTATAACTGCCTTCAACTGGAAAAATACATAGCCAGCCAACTTCTCAGGTATTGGTCCTCCTTCAAGGAAGGGGGTAAAAGATTTACTCATTTTTTAACTTTCTTAAAATCTCCTATTTTTCTCAAAGGCTCCGTTTGAATTGTCATTCGACATTCATGTTCCCATGTGCTTTTGGAAAAACAATCCACACATTTGACAGATTTAAGTCAACCTACTTCAGCTGTTTTCAAACACATCATGGTAAACTATACACTCATACACAAAGCTACAAGTTCAAACCACTCTGGATTATTCTGCGTATGACGCTTTGCTGCAAAGACTTTACAAATGTGGACTGGATACGTTTTACATAAGATTACTTGGCAACGGACCTAGGAGCAACTCCTAGTCATTTTAAAATGACATTTTATACTGCACCACATTTCTCACCACTGTGCTGATTTTCTTCTTTCCATCCGATGCTCGAAGGAGACACTTGTTTTCTGCCGGTTCTTGTACAGAATCGACTGTGCCCTTTTTGGGAATGGGCTTGGTCCTGCCGTCATCTGTGGATAAAGCATATGGTGGTGTATAAGCAAAGCAACTGGCACTTACCAAGAGAACACAATTACTACCAGTACAGGGACTTGTGACACTTTGCAACTACTCCGTTTAAAAATCACAGATGCTGAGCACAGGCCCAACAACCTAAATAACCACCCAAGTAGCCAAAGACTAAGGGCACGAATGATAGTATAAGAGGGTGTGTTTCTTGAATTGAGCAAGGTTATTGCAAATTGGGAAACAGGCGATGGGAGTTTCAAATTCAAGCAGTGAGGAAAGGAGAAATACGAATGTATCCTGCAGTAGAATGGTTGAAACGCTATGACAAAACATTACATTTCGTTGAACAAGTCCTCGACAGGGCCAGAGTTATCAATTTGTGAAGTTTATGGAAACAATGACTGTGGTAGTTTCTATGAGCAAGTGACAAAGAAGAAAATGAATGATAATGAATGGGTGACTGCATTGGGTCGGTGAACACAGGAGCACGACTAAACTGAGATGCTTGAAGTTAGTTGTAATAGGGCATATGTGGCTGTTTCAATTACATATATCAAATACACTCGAGTCAAAGTCCTCAAGTACAAGATTTTGGAGACAAAAGACTTACTTGGTTCGTGCAAATTTAGTTACTAATAACCTAAGCAGTTATATGGAACGCAAGAGTAATGGTGAAGTCCAGGAGGAGAGAAGTCTTAATTGAAACTGGGAGAATAAAAACGATCTAGATGGGGCATATTGTAAAACATCAATGCTTGCAGAAGGAAGCTAAAGAAAGACGTTGAGGAGAAGAGGTAAAGAAGACGAAGGGGCACGGTTTACTGAGGTGAAGAGGGCAATATTACAAAATGCAAGTATGAAATTTAACAGTTTAACTCATAGGCTTTCGTTATCAATATCATCCATAATCGAGGTTTTTTTGGGTGAGATCGCGTCAATATATGTGTCTTTAAAACCCGCCACAGCCAACTAGTAAGGTTTGTCACACAGAGAATGCCAATTCGTCGCTAGTACAGCACACCAGTGTGTTGGAGAGCCAAGCCACAACATTTACAATCCGAGTACGACGTTTCGCCAGTAATTACAACTAGCTTCATCAGGCGACAGACAGATTTGTGGAGAAGTCTAACCGTTTCGTTCCTTATATCGAGGCTTAGATGTGGTGAACAGCACGGAGCACTTTGCAATGCTCTACTTGGGCAGAAAACCCAGGTGGTGTGATGGATCGAGAACTCAATAGAGTTGATGATGGAATCCACGAGTGAGGTTCATGGCAACAGTAACCAGAGCAGAAGGAACAGAATATTCTTTAGGAGGCAAATGACCACCAGTAAATGACTTATCAATCAACAAGTGCTGGGTTCATCAATCAACCTGCTTTAAGTTGAATTCGATTCTTCAGTGAAGTAGGAACTGGGTGTTCTACCCCAGATATTGCAATAGTATTCCAACTTTGGCATAATTTGTATCGCTTTTGCAGGAGAAAGGACATAAACGGTACTTGCCAGTTGCCAGTACTGGGACTCGTGATGCAAAGTGTGGCTGACGTGCAAATGCTGTCAACCCGAGTGAAATCCCAACAAAGGTGGCCGACAGCGCCCCAAACTCCATTGCCACGTTGATTTTGGACTTCAAAGGAGATCACAAAGCCACTCACATTTCTTCATGGTCATGTAGACACTGCCAGACGTCCGGCACTTTTGGAACAGCCTGGTGAGCTCGTTCAGAAACTGTAACAAGAGAATTTGAAGCTTTCGTGACTGCAGGAATCCATACTCTTTGGTTCTTTCGGTAAAGTCACAGAGAAGAAAAATAATTAGAGATCACGACTTTTCGATCGCCAAACAAGCGGTCGTCCTCAGGTTGGGAAAGAGGACGACCGCTTGTGTAGCGATCGAAACGTCGTGCTCTATTAATATTCTTTTTCTACGTGACTTTACCGAAAGAACCAAGGAGTATGTAAAAAGAGAACACGCATTTTCAGTATACCGATTACTTCGCATGTTTAATGTCACGTTTTACGTTGTCCCATGTATGGCCCTTACGTCAATCCACTGCTCCACGACCGCTTCCCCACGCCGTGCAGGATATCTGACCATACTTCACCAAACTGACCATACTTCACCAAACTGGTCATACTTCACCAAACTGACCATACTTCACCAAACTGACCATACTTCACCAAACTGGTCATACTTCACCAAACTGACCATACTTCACCAAACTGACCATACTTCACCAAACTGGTCATACTTCACCAAACTGACCATACTTCACCAAACTGACCATACTTCACCAAACTGACCATACTTCACCAAACTGACCATACTTCACCAAACTGGCCATACTTCACCAAACTGACCATACTTTCACCAAACTCGTCATACTTCACCAAACTGACCATACTTCACCAAACTGGTCATACTTCACCAAACTGGTCATACTTTCACCAAACTCGTCATACTTCACCAAACTGACCATACTTCACCAAACTGGTCAAGGCGGGGTTTGTGAATGCGGGAAGTACAGATGTTGGAACGTAGCACAGTAACAAAGGATGTGGCTCAACTGCTCTTTGCTGTCCAACAACGTTGCTTTTGGGGCGACCTATTGCACATCTTTGAAGCATCACGGTTTCCCATCCAAGTGCTATCCGGGCTCAACTCTGCTTAGCTTCGGAGATCCGACGAAAGGCAAAACAAAAGTTCGTGGCTTCCTCTTTTAAACTCGTTTAGGGCGGCGCTCCAAATCCCTATTCACGCCAGAGACGGGGGTGGTAAATCCACACTGTTACGTCCGGAGCGAGTCATTACAGTTTAACTCTTGTTTTAAAACGAAGGTAGTAAAAGCACACGAAACCAAATGTTCCCAGGTTCAATTCCAAGTGACCCGTGTGGTCCAGTTTGGTAAAATACAAACTATCACCAACGCATACGGCAACAGCTTTGGTGCGGGTGGGGGCCTCCATCCAGCAGTGGATTGGTTAAGGCCGCTGCTGAGGCCGAGTAGTGAGCACACCACACACCACACGTAAAACAAAGGTCTCGCCTGCGGCCGTTCTTAAAAGGCAGCGGCACATTACTCTGACCACGCGGACTCGTCCATTGCAACAATATCGCCGGCTTCACGCGCTCAAGTTATGCCATTCTGAAGCCACGTAAGCAGTCACAGGTCGCGTTACCACGTCGTTCTCCAGAAGAACCATGGTCCCCGCGGCGAATTGACGCACTGTTTAAGCGAACGCAAGGACTCCCCTCGGAGCTCGCTATTTCTGCTTTAGCGTGACAACAGCGGCAAGTCCACGTTGGCCACCTCGAGTCGTTCGTATTCGAGTAACGCAACACGCGCGCCGCCGCCGCCGCCTGTAAGTTGGCATCCCAACATCCGGCGTGTAACGTGAGTCGCAGGGCGGCCATCTTACTACGGTGGAGGGGTGACCCTCCCCCACGTCCTTCATGCAAACGTTACCGCCTCGTGACGTCATTGTCACGCGATCTCGCAGCCCCATCTCGTCCCCACCACCAACCCACACAGCCGGGGCTTGCGAATCCCCCCACCTACACCACCCCCCACCTACACCACCCCCCACCTACACCCCCCCACCTACACCCCCCCACCTACACCCCCCCCACCTATACCCCCCCACCTACACCCCCCCTACCTACCCAACATGTCCGCTCTAATTCCAACTCGCGCCCTCCCCAACCGGATGACGTCACGACGATTCCGGACGTGACGCGCCGCGCCTGCAACACAAAAAGAGACGAAACGGGCCACCAAATTCGAACGGTCCACCACGTGCTCGCCGGCGGTCCAATCGCGCGCGGCGATAACCGCAGCGCCGGGCAACCCTCCCCCCCTCGGCCGCCGCCTTATCCGCTGTACGGAATGTGTGGCGAGATCGCGTGTTCGCCGGCGGGAAAGGAGGAAAAAAAAATCTGCTTCTTGTTGTGTGGCACAAGCAGCGGTGGAAAGCCGCGTTGGGCCCCCGTCGCCGCCGCCGCCACCACCACCACCATTCATTCATTCATTCAATCGCCTCTCCGTTTGTCTTCTTTTGAGATAACCCGCACCTCGCGGCGACCATGGTGGAGAACGAGACGGCCATCAGCGAGGAGGAGGCGGCGCAGTACGACCGCCAGATTCGTCTGTGGGGGCTCGAGGCCCAGAAGAGGTGAGCGGTGGACCCCAGAAGGGGGGGGGGGAACTTCCATTGGGTGGTTTTTTTTGGTAGGGTTTGGCCACAAAAGTCCCACGTCTTTTCTTTGTGAGCGGACATTGTCGAGTCGCCTGAAACGCAAGCAACGCGTGTTGGTGGCGAGATTTTTCCACGTTTCGAGGCGGCGCTCTCATTCATATGGTGACAATTCCACGTTTCGTGACCAACTTCTGAGGCTTGTTGGCAGAATGCCACGTTTTTTTTGGGGGGGGGGGGGGCAAGTAACACAATTCTTGGAGCCGAAATACAATGTCCTTTTATCAAAATCCCACATTCTGATCGTCAAAACATCACGTTTCTGGTTTCACTTGCCCAGAGCTTTTGACCAAAAATACCACATTGGAAGAATTCTGCAGATTGCGGCCAAAATCCCACGGTTTAGGACCAAGTTCAACTTATTATGCCAACATCCCATGTTTTTTCAGGTGGCCTTGAGATGATTGTGACTATCTTTGCATGGACCTGATCTAAAGGGCCTTTTGGAAACATTGCTACTGCTGTGCGCTGAGGAATGAATGCATGGGTGGATATTCAGTTGATGGCATTAACTGATGTTTGTTTATATTAGTCTGGTCTATAAACAAAACATGTTTAAACAGGTAGACACTTGCATTATTTCAGATAAACTTTCAGCATCTATATATGCACACAAAGCTTACACTTTTAATTGACAATTCGTGTTAAGGCCCTTGAAGTCTGCTCTCGTCAGATTTCTTTGGTGTCCTTATTCCGGTTTGTGTGCCAATTATGTGACTCAATAACATTACACTTTTTTTGTCAATGTTACATCAAAAATGACCTTTTTTGGTCTGCCACGTGAGTCAGCCTTAGTTCACAACCACAGAAAAGTAGTTACAGCCAGCCACATGTGATGCATGTGTTGCGTTTTTACTATTTACTGGTCACTACATTGGCAAAACCATTAATGGTACATTAAGCCTTTTACAAATAACTTTGACGCAGAGGAAAATACACAAGAATGTCATGCATGAGGGCATATCTCCACGAGTAGTACATCGTCTTCTGCAGACTGAGGGCTTCCAAGCTGCTGATCGTGGGGATGAAAGGTCTTGGAGCTGAGGTTGCGAAGAACCTCATTCTGGCTGGAGTGAAGTCCGTGACGTTTCTAGATAACAACAAGGTATGGTACTATAATAAAGCTTTATTCCAAGCACTACTTACAAATATTTTTCATAACTGATATATGTGCACACACTCAGTTCTTCTCAGTGGTCTGGATAAGGCCTCGGAGCTTTTGTACAAATACATGCACACGTTTACGTGTTGTTAAATGTTATGTTGTGGAGTCACACTTTGTGTAATACTCTGGCTGTGTTGGTCATATATGTGGAACCGGCATTAAATTACATGCGACTTATTTGGTACGTAAACAGGTTTTTGTGCCTTTTTCGAATCATTCATTGCCAGTGCATTACTGGAGGCTGAAGCTTTTAGAGTCGTTTGCCACTTTACAAATGGACAGGTCCACAAATTCGGCAACCTCACTCAAATTCATACAAATTGGTATGAAAGTGGCTTTATTATTTAACAGGTCAATGTTATGACACATACACAAGACTCAATGCACCATCACCATTTCAGCATGGAATTTAAAAGTGCATAATCCTGTGTGGTAGTTTAGGAGCATTTTTCTCTTCCCAAGAAAGTTACAGACAATATCGATCTCTACTAATTGGTTCACATACTACGCCCAAGTAAATTGCTACTTCATGGTTATGATAAGAATTGCCTAAATCTTTAAAGTGTCTGTAAACTATATCCCAAATCGTGGAGCTGCCCAGGAGTAGGTTTCCTTGTTTGCATGTTGTTACATTTAATTGTGTCCTCTGTGTAGGCAACAGAAGAGAGCACCCGCGCTCAGTTTCTGGTTCCACAGAGCCGGCTTGGAGAGAACTTGGCTGAAGCCTCGTTGGAGCGGGCCCAGAACCTCAACCCAATGGTTGATGTGCGGACGGACAAGAGTGACATCGCTAGCAAGACCGAAGAGTTCTTCACCCAGTTTGACTCGGTGATTTATACGTTCCTGCCTTTTAACTCCAAGAAAACAAGTCACCAAATAGAGCTTGTTGATGTCTCATATTGTTTTGGTCAGCACAAGTGCAACTGGGTTAAATATTAAATTACCAAGTCACCAGGAATGTGTCCGATCTCACGAGATCTCGGAAGCTCAGCACGGTTGAGTCTGGATTGTGCATCGATCGGTGATCACCATACAAACCAGCTTAGTGTAGGCTGCTGTTATGCTTCGTGGTGGTCAGCTGTATCATATTTATGCTCCTGCTCTCACCATAATCCTCACAACTCACATGGTGGAAAGCCCTCATCCAGTGGTGAATTAATAAAGTGATGTACAAATATAAGACAACGGTCTGATTTTCTCCCCAAAAAGGTAAGATTAAATCCCATTAGCCTAATAAACTTAAAAAGCAATGTATAAACAACCAAACTCGTAAATTGTTTTATTGATGGGGAATATTGCTGGGGAGGTGCTTTATTGCTATCCATGCTATCTTAATTTTTTTACAGCTGTAATCCTCTTGTTACGTGTGCATTGCATCAATAAATTGAGAAATATTCAGATAATTAGCACTGTAAATGCCACCGAGGCCAGTTTCATTTACCAAATATAATTTCAGGTAAGAATAGGCGGAATGAGAAGTGTGTTTAGTATAGAACATGCAATGCAGTCGCCATCCATGTTAATGGACGCCACAGGAGGGCAGCAGCATGTATACACTGTTGATTAAAACCTTCCAGCTTTAGAACGAAAGCTGTTTTATAAGCAGACTTGAAGATAATGTTGGAGTAACGTGCGTATAATGTTTTACATCTTTTTTTATACAACTTATTTCTAAATATTACATGTATAATAAAAGGAATTTACACGCAACATGACGGTTGCTTGTGTTGCGATCGAAACGTGATATTGTTATTTTAATTATTTTGTCTATCTATGTGGCTTTACCGAAAGACCCAAAGAATATAGAAATTACATTTTGTATGACTTACCCAACCAAGATGGTTCTTGTATCACATGCTAGATGTACTGTAATTGAACATTTGTCTTGGTTTTTGTTTCTGTCCGTGCAGATATGCCTGACCGGGTGCCCTCAGGATGTCATGATTAAGATTAATAGAATCTGTCACGAGCGTAATATCAAGTTCTTTGCAGGAGATGTGTTTGGTTATCACGGCTACATGTTTGCCGATTTGGGGATTCATGACTATGTGGAGTAAGTCGCTGTGAACCTGTTGACTGTGTAAATGCTTATATGATTAATAATATTTGCATTGGTAAAAAAAATCTATTTTTGAACACATTCTCAGAAAATAGATGAGAAGTTCATTCAGAAATACTATAATTTTACAGAACAAAATATTATGCAATGGATATACATTGATTATGATGTAGTTGTATTTCTATAAAATGTGGGTATTGTTTATACACGTGTCTGCATGTTAAACAAGGGAACTAGAATCACATTTAGTACAGTCAATAATAATGACCAAATGAGCGGCGATGAGCTCGATGGAGCCACATCTTGGAAGCTAACTGGTTGAGCCTAGATAGTGCTTGGATGGGCGATCACCATGCACACCAGGGTTTTGTAGACTACTTTGGGGGGTGTGCTACTTTTTGGGCAGCAGAGGGATGCTCTCTCCCTTCACATACCCGCACGGACCAGCTTGGTGACGAATGGTCCGTTAACATCAAGAACCTGTATGATGTGGGAGGCCATCATTCAGCATTGCCTTTAAAAACGGCCATGTACATTCTGAATGACATCTGGATGTTCTGCACTGTAATATTAAAATAACTGTTTTACATCCTGTTACAGAAACACAATTTTAAGCATTTGGCAGCATTTAAACTTTTTCATGCTCAAGTTATTTATTAATGAAAATGTACCAATTGTTGCCGTTAACAGTGGGCGGGCACGTTGCTTGCCTCATGCTCTGCGGGCTCAAGCGTGTGTGACTATTTGCTGTCGTTGTGCTTTTGAAGGGAAAAACCCAAGAAGGTGGAGGTGGAGGGTGCGGAGGACGGCCCTGCGGCAAAGAAGCGCAAAGTAATCTCGTCGGAATCGACCATGGTCAAGAAGGTACACGGGAGGAATTACCTCAGTCGCTGAGTCGGTCATTATCCTGTATCGCCTACATTGCAATAGTACCGCCCTTGTGCATTGTAGGACCCCGTGCCCTTGGGATTAAAAAAAAAACACATTTAACTTGCCTTATTTAGGCATATCGTGTTGGCACACATTTCTTGCCAAGCACAGAATTCCCTTATATAAAATTACATGGGTTGTCATCTTAGCCATGTAAGTGCTTTCACGGTGCTGGCGAATGCATCATAGACCATACGCGCAGATTGAAATACAGTTATTTAAACTGCATAAAACAGGATTATTAGTGTTTCAGTAAGTTGCCATTCACTGTTTGCAGTTGTCCTAACAAATAATGTGTACAAAAAACATTCCAGTTGAAAAAGCAATGCTTCAGATTTACTTTTGGGATTCTTACAATTTGCTTGCTAGATATTGTTAATTCTTAACCGTATTAGGATTTAAAGTTTACGGAATTTAATGTAATAGTTTGGAATATGTTAAAATAAATGATGTGCACTACTGAATTATATGATAAAACCCATTAATGTATACATCGTTTTAGGATTATTGGCAATTTTTTCCAATGCAATGGACTGGATTGTATACAGTATACATTATCATAAGAATAAAATGTAGCATATTTGTGCTAAAATGAGCATTGGTATGGTGTCCATCTGTTAGTAACTGTAAATATTAACTCGATACATGATTGGCATGTCAATGGTTGTGTAAATATAGGTTTATACTCTACAGCAGGGGTGGGGGGAACCTTTTCCTTACTAATGACTAAATGTGACTTTAAAATACTTTGTGGGCCACACATTAGTACACGCATCTTGGCGTTGTGTAATAATTAATAACACGAAAGAGAATGTGGGTGTTGACCAAGTATGAAATAGGCCCATGCAGTGAAAGAAGTGATTGAGCTTGCTAAACTTAGAAGCAGTGTTGGCAGGTAAAATGCGTTCCCCTCTGGTTCCCGATTAGTGTGGGCAAGGTGCTTGCAATGATGGATCAATATTGCCCGTGGGCCTTGTTGAAGTGGTCAGTCTCATGTGTCCCCAGGTCATAGATTCCCCACGCCTGCTATCCAGAGAGGAATCTATGCATTACATGCAAACACGTTTATGTTTTAATATTATGGTATACCTGTCTAATAATATAATAGTGGAGACCTAAATTGGTATATTATATTCAGAAAGCAATGTTATCAAATGCAATACTTAGCTGAATGATATAATGAAAGATTACTTAACTTTTTTGTGCAGCATGAAGGAGTAGTGGGGGAAGTCTGTTTGGTTCTTAACAAAAGTGTGAGTTCCTGAATATTGTGGCTTTATAAATCACGTAATTATGCATCAGCATTAATCAGCAATTTTTTGTAAAACCCCAAGGAGTGCATTTGAAGCACTGCCGCAGTTCAGCAATAGCTGCGGCCCTTGCCGTTGAACGCGAAAGAATGGCTTCTTTAAAATGAGACTTTGCCTGCAGTTAACGGAAAATATCTTGTGCACAGTAATACTGCTTTATACAGAACGATTTGTGTTTGTGCCTAATATTTAACAGCATAAGATTATTATTTTCTTGTTTTTATTCAGCAGTAATTGTCATTTGTTACATTATATTCTGTAAAATTAGTTGAAAATGATGTATTGTGCTTTGTATATAATGTTATTTTCAAAAGTGGTATTATGGTTTAATGTTAACACTTATTTTTGGCAAATCCTAAAATGTTGTATATATGTAAAGTGTATTATTGATAATGCTTTTGGATTATATTTTTTTCATCTGGAATTGTAGTTTTAAAAAATATATTTAATATGTTACAAGTATAATAAAATAGTGTGCAGTTTATAACCATGCACAGTTATTTGTATGCAATCTTGAATCTGTGATGTGTAATTTTTGTGTTAGGAATTTCTGTAAAATTATTTGAAAGTCTAATCAATTCATTTGTATAAATATGTGGACAACATTCCTAAATTAAATACATTTATGTAGAATGCTATATGTTGTAATTATTAATTGTAATCTGTTACGCTATATTCTGGAAAATTGGTTTAAAATAACGCATTTTGTTTTATATATAATGTTATTTGCAAAAGTGGTATTATGGTTTAATGTTAACACTTATTTTTGGCAAATCCTAAAAATATAAGCATTATTTTTCTCTATGCATGTTCTTTTAGAAAAAAAGGTGTTTTTGAGGTAATTTTCATATCATGTACTATATTCTTAAATTTAGACTGTAGAGTTTTGCACCTTGGTGGAAGCACTTGATGCAGACTGGACAACGGACCAAGCTAAGAAAATCATTAAAAAAACACCTGCTGGCTACTTTCTTACAAAAGGTATGTACCTCACAGCATCTTTTTTTTTAAGTGAACAATTTAGGTGTTTGTTTTTTTAGCATCTGTAGAGCACTGACAACTTCTTTATTCAATAACTGTCTTGACCAGGAAACAAAAAACTATCGCAGTTAATTCGTGAGAAATGTATCCAATATGCCCCAGCTTGTCCTGAGCATCCAGCAGCTTGTACTCTGACATGGCTTGTGTGGGCTACTGGCATGTCATGTCATCATGCGTAGGTTTATCGTTGCTCCAAATATGTAGTGAAATAGTAGCCTTGGCGATAAAGGGCACTTAGCAACTTTGAGGCGGGAGTGACTCATTGGGCTCATTGCTTCCTTGATAAAAAAACGGCTGGAGTTTTTGACATTTGCCGCCTATGCTGTGGACTGAAGAGCGCAGTGTGTGGCAGCCTGAGAGAGCACCTTGTAGAATGGAGAAGAAGGTAGGCTGCTGTATCCGTTGTGTGATCGCACAGCCGACCGCAAGGTCGGTGGGCGTCTGCTATTTGTGTGAAAATGTGTGCTCCCCCCCCCTTTCTAAATGCCATCATCCCAGCCGCATGCCAGGGTTATACCCCCATGAGCTGTTATCCTGTTATTTTTGGTTTCAACAAAGAGGCGTTCAGGGGCTCGGCGGTCAATTGTTATTTAGGTCAAGGCAGTGCAAAAAAAATTCAAATTGGGAGTTAAAAAATAAAATTTGTTTTCTTTAACTTTTGTAGCTGGGTGATTCTGGACAGAATGTTGAACATTTACAAGCTTGGATTATATTGCCTTTGTCATATGCAACAACAGGCATTTTTTTATAGTACCAAAGGTTACATTTTCTATGGCTGTGTGTAGTATACTTGTCCAGGGTGTTTGGCTTTTGGCGATCTGGGATATTCTATTTTGAGTGATGCTAAGTTAAGAAAATAAAACCATGGATAGCACTTTTTTGTATTCAAATATGACTACCAGTTGCATAAAAATGTTTTTTATTAAATACAATGTAATATCACAGTACACAGTGGACTGTTACAAATTCATCTGTTGCATTCTTCAAAAATGAATAGAATAACGTATTCATTTGCTAAGTTTTTATTTTGCTTTGCAAAGAACGTGTTTAAAAAAAATCTCCTTACGCTTATAAATTTCTCAAATATTATGCCATAGTTATTGCCAACAATTATTTTCCCAAGATGGCCTGCAAAGGATCATGCAACGGTGTGAGAAAGAACATTTTGGATGCTGTTTGTATGTTGCGAAAGTCTTGCACATCGGTACTTATTGCACTGGGAATCTGATCTAATGAAATGGGGAAACGGTGGGGTAGGCTTTGCAGCAGCGATAGTGTAAAAAAGAGGGGTGACTTCTTTTTTTTGTTACCAATAGTGCGGTAGGCAATTAGTCATCAGTTAGTCAAACTTTCCATGGCTCAGTCCCACGCAGGGCCCAAAATTAGTGTGGTTAGGCAGAATAATGTTGTTCTAAACAATAAAAAAAAGTTCAAATGTACGAAACATGTTGATTTTTGATAGTTTTTTTGTTATACTCCTTTTATTTTTGAAGTTTATTTTTTGATAGTGTCAGAAAATTATGTTTTTACTAACAATGGGATGCATGATAGGCTGATATATTTTTTGTGGCAATTCTTTTCAAGTTCTGAACTTGCACATTATTTGACCTGCTAATGTTATTTCTTTAGGTATTAAATACAAAACCAATAATTCAGCAATGTAATTATTCCTTTACATTATATACTGTAGTTGAACTTATTTCGAGTTTATAAACATGCATATGTATATATATACATTTTAGATACATATTAGACGTTGCAGTTAAAGTATTTTAAACGAAATATCTAAAAGCCGACATATGGAGAAAACCGTATACGGATTTTCACATAAGCATGCTTTAGACGGTGCATGGTAGAGCACATGATCCACTACCAGGGGTGATCTTTAGAGGGGACTGCCGCTGAGTAACGGGTGACATTTTCACTCAGACGGTGAGCCCTCGTTTGGCAACACGGGTGACCTCATGGTCATGATGTCACCCGGGACGGGGAGGACTACGATACGATACGGTGTCGCATGCCTGCGGCCGAGCTTATGCAAACCTTTCTGGGAATTCGGGCCGTAAAAAATAAAACCCCCATGAGTTAACGGGATGCCGTCTGTTTAAATACATCCATGCGCGTTTGTAACAGTGGGAACGTATTTAACGTCTAGGGGAAATGTGGTATAATTATTTCGTCAACTTTTCAAGGAAAGTACAAATGTTAATACTGAGTAATCGTACCATGATTCGGAGTTTTTATATGACAACGAAATAACGTTTTCCGCGTTTATTTTATACATTTGCGCTGCTTGTATTCACTTGGTTGTCACTTTTCATAATGATTGCGAGGTGTTTGCAACTTTAATTTTGGGCGTATTTCAAATGATCGTTTTAACATTTATTTGTACAGTACTATAATTCAACGTTTTCTTAGTTTATTTCAATATCTTTAAATATTTTTCCCTTCGTTTATATCAAGGTTACATAGCAATAATATTGTAGGCTGATATAACAATTAAACTTAACTGCTGTTAATCCTTTTTAATATAGTAATTATGGACGACAGAAAACATACATTTAAAACAAGCAATATTTAGCTGTTTTTTTATTATTGGACTTCCTCTAACTGCTTTGTAATGTAAAAATGAATTTCCTTGAACAAAATATATCACGAGAGAAGAAATGTGGCAGACCTTTTTCACTTTGCTAATTCACTTGTAGAAATAAGCCCTTGAACTGAAAATGTTTGCCTGCATGCGTTTGATAATTTTGGAAAAAGTTACAAATGGAACAAGGTGCGCGCTAAAACTAGTCGGAACAACAACAGGGCATTCGGTACAGGCTCTCTGCGAGACAAGTTGGTGGCATTTCACCTTCCTTCCCTTCCGCCGTGTTGGCGGTGTTGTTTACTCCGTCCGTTGCCTTCTCTCCTTATCTTGCATGAGGGCTGTGCAAGAGAGCCGCTGAGCGAGTGTTAGGGTGTCGCTCGTCCGCACTGGGGAATTTCCACTCGCCACTGCTTTGCTGTGATAACGAGCTGGCCAAATTAGCGGTGCATCTGATCATTGCCTGGGGTCGGCCTCATTTGATTATGCATCTCATCTCGCATAGCGAGAATTTTGCGTGAGAAATTAAAAATATACGCATACCTCCGATGCCAACCTCAAATGCCGCTTCTGATTGAAATGTATTATTAGTTTTTACATGAACGTTCGTGCTAATTTTCTTATTGTAAACATTAATTCAGTGTCAGTGTTAAAGAGCTTGCCAGCAGAAGACATTGTCTTAGAAAAACGTTATAACGTTTTAACGTTTTTCTGTTTTGTTTCACGATGTGTGTTGTCAAGGCTAAGCAGAGAACGAGAATCACAGCAGTCCCCTTTAACTGCTATATTAGTGACTGCAATGGACAGGGGTGGCCGTGGCATATGATTGACTAAATTCTCAGAATTGAGCCTTTAAAAAAACTGCTGACACTGTGACCACCGCAGTCATGGAGCTTAAAAATCTAAAAACATGCCCTTGCTTATTCACATGGAGCCGGTGTTTGTGGTCACGTCAGAGTGGGAGATGCAGGCCGAGCCTAATTTTCCCGTAAAAGCCCCATGTATAAAGCAATAACGTGACAAATGACCTTAAAGAACGGCGAGAAAAAGTCCCTTAACGTTTAATGAGTTAAATTATTTTTTTTATACTTTTCTAATGGTGTAATTTCCTAATGGTGGGTTTTTTTTGTTTAAAAAGTATATTAAATTAAGAAAAAAAAATATAAAAGGATCTTTAAAATGTCAGACTTGCTATGTAGTGCTTGTTGACAGTGTAATTGCAGCTCATAAAACAAATATATTTTACACCACTTGCTTATAATTGTTGAATGGTTTCACAAGACTTGTTTGTTGATTTAACACAACCAGCACATTGTTATTTTTTGTGTGGTTCATTAGTTGTTTGCTCATGTATAGTAATTATAATGTAACTTTAAAAAAAGCGTGGTACTATTTTTACATTTAAATGTAGCATGAAGAGTTATCTTTTCCCTAAAACAACTGCTTTTTATGGTACACAGTCCCTAGAAGTAATACGAGTGTCCTTTTGAAATGGTGTAAGTGTTCATATATATATACGCACACTTCCTTATTCCATTGCTTTATGAAGACCTTCCCATACCATGCAAGTCACAGGAATTATTTGGCCATAATTCAACATTGGTCAGTGCGTGTTGGTGAAGACGGTATAGACGTGGGTGAGCATAGTACATTACAACAATTGACAGTGCTGCACTGCCCTCTGCTATGTACAATCTAAACCCACAGCCTGAATGCTGGTCACCCATCCAAGCTCAACCACGTTTATCTTCTGAGTTCTGATGAGATTGGCCATGTTCCATGTGATTTGGTCATCGGCTGGACGCTATGTGCATGTGTATATAATGTATGCTAAAGGCATTTACCAGCTGTAACATTGTAGTCGTCACACCGCTTCTGTAGCAGGTATAGGTGGCAGTAGGGGATGTTTACATGTATTTAGGTGTGGACGCACTACAGATGGTAGAGTGGAGTAGTGGTTTGTGCCACTGCGCTATGAACCCACAGTCCCAAGCTCAATTCCCGGTAATGGCAAGCATCTGTGATAATTTCTGATCTGGCCCTGAGCCCCCCACTGACCTGCAGTCAAACAACATGCATGGAGAGTCATCATCCAGTAGTAGATTGACAGTGCTGAAAATGATCATTGTTATTTTGATATTCATGACCATGACTTTAGTCCAAACTACACTGCTTCTTGCCTCAAAATTCATCATTGGCCAAAGGTAAAGCAAGCATTTGTGGAAAAAAAATGTCATACCTGACATAAAAAGAAAGCAAAAGAAGCCTCGTGAATCAAGCGTCCTTTTGAACTCGCACTGTCACATGCACCGTCACATGCTGTGATAGCTTTAGTTACAAAGGTTGTAAT